GTCAGCTGCTCAAACCCAGCTATGACGACTCTTCAGCCAAACAGTCCTCTAGTTAGTAATTTAATTAGGGAGTTGCAGCAAAAACCTGCATAGATAGTGGCCCTTTCTGGATAAGGTTGCCCACCCCTGGTGTTGAGCAGGACAGGAGGGGATTGCCAGGACTGCAAGGCTATGGAAGCTGCAGGGTCAGGGCCAGAAGGGGTTGAGGGGCCTGCAGGACCAGGAACAGTGGGTGCTGCTGGGACCGCAGGACTGGAGGGTGCGGGGGACCTGCAAGACAGGGTGAAAGAGGTGCCACCTGGACGGCAGGGCAGGGAGGACCTGCAGGGCAGGGAACAGGGGACGCTGTCGGGCTGGAGCTAGAGAGTGCAGTGGGTTTTCTACTGAAGGCGGGTGCCATCAGGTCCCTGTGGACAGCGCCGGGTGGATCAGGGTCTATGAGGTTAGCCTGGACAGTGTGTCCTCCTCATCCCCTCCTGGACAGAGACCCTGCCTGCTCCTTTCCTGGGCCTGTTTACCGTGCTAACCATTCTGGGACTTGGGATGGCAAGAGGGTCCCTGAAACGGGGCTCTGGACCGGGCTAAGAGGGTTCCACTGAACACCCCCTGGCTGGGTCTCACTTGGGTCTCTCCTCTTCAGGCTGGAGGTGGTCCGGGGATCGGCAGGCAATGACCTGCATGGGACAGGACAGACACCAGGGCACCGACTGGAGATAAAGCAGATGCCAGCGTGACCATAGGCACTGGTGGGCCAGCAGGAACTTATGAAGCAGGTACTAGTGGGATAGGCACAAATGGGACATCTAGGGACAATGAAGAGGGCATCTGGGTGACCCGGGTAAGCGAAGCGGGCGCTGGTTAGGGACCAGGAGACAGATCCAGATCCTACAAGGTGCCTGGTGGTGAGTGGGGCTGAACTGGGATTCCTGTCGGCAACGTTGGGGAAGTTGTCTTCTAGGTCGGAAGCGCTTGTGAGCAGGGATTGAGTTCTAAGCGACAGAGACTCACTGGTGGAGGATGGTGTAGTCACAGGCTGAGCGGACCTCTCCAGGTTGGGTGTCTACACTGCAGGTGACACTCTCACCAGGATCTGAGCAGTGTGCAAGTGTTGCTCAATCAGCTCCACCTCTCTGGCATCGGCTCCCAAGTCTCCAACAGTCAGCCCTCCAGCTGAGCAAGTCCACACACCAGCATCAGATGGCCTGTTCCTTGGGTCCAGGTACCTGCTCCAGAGATAACACCAGCCAAGAGAAACCTCTGCAGTAGCCCGGTCAAGCCTGAGGAGCTCAGCTGCAATCAGGATGAGATCAGCGGTGATATCACCGGGAACAAACTCTAGGTCCAGAAGGAGGGACCCTGGCATGGAAGCAGCTGTTCTACACTGTCTTTACCGGAATGGGCGAAGAGTTTTGGGGAGTCCCCTGGCACTGGAGTGGAAACCAGGCTGGGGATTGGCTCCTCTTCTTCGAGGAGTACTGCTTGTGTCTCCTACCTCCACATCCTACAGCAGTAATTGGCAGTCCACCACGGGAAGCTAGTAGACAGGTCCACAGCTAGCTCAACCCTGCAGGAGCCTAGTTTGACCGGGGGAAGTGGTACCAGTAGGTCCTCCCTGCTGCCGTAGGATGACCACCATGGCATCCACACCAGTGGGGTGATCCACATACCTACGTCCTCCTCAGTGTCCTCATCCTCCTCGGGCTCCTTCAAGTCGCTGTTGCTGAGGAGGTCAATGAGAGGGTTTCAGCTTTAGATTTAGCCAGAAGAGCTCCTTAACTCACAGCATTTTTAGATGAGGTCACAGGTTGTGGAAGGGGCGCACATATGCCAAATTCCATTGCACAAAATCCAGAGGCCTCCTGTGATTTAATTTCCTCAGCTTTGTAGATCATCTGTGCAGCTGCTAGATGTGCTCTATGAAGGAGGCAAAATGGCTGAAGCTGTGAGAGAAGGGGAAGAGGGCAGTTATTGCTTCTCAGTATCTTAGCAGCTTTGATACAATGTGAAAGTAGATGACCAGCCTAACTTAACCAGAGTGAAAGTAAACATAAGTAATGCATTTATTATATTGATTCAATTCCTATGTAGATCTAGGTCATCATCCTATGACCTAATAATGAAACTAGAATGTTATGCTGTTAGCAGTTGTGTTTATTAATTGCAGTGACAGCAATTCTTGATTCAAGATCTATGTCAGATGCACAAACATACACTATATAGGTGTGTAGTGAAATGTTTTTTCCCCCATGCTGTCGCTTATGCTCAAAAACAATATGAAAAGATGTCAAACCAAAGATGCCTCAACTAGGTCCAGAAACCGTCCTACCTGCTTCAACCAAATTGATACTAGATATTTGCCCTGTTCCATTGCTTTCAGTAAATACAAGTCAAATCTTTTTCTTGAATTGTTCTCAAATCTTACCCGTCACAACCTTGTTTGAGTTTTCCTTTGTCCCTGAGTTAGCATTTTGTCTAGAAGTTCCCTGATCTCTCACCTCTCAACCTAGAGTATACGTTTTGCATTTGAACCTTTGCTTGCTGTATAACACTGATTGTGAATTAGGGCTTTAGTCACCGCTTTACTTCATGATTATATGTAACACAGTCCTGGCCATCTTTTAGAGTCCTCTTGTTTCCTCTGGCCATAAACAGAAAAAAGACACCTAAGAATTGCAAAGTGGCTTAGATGGATCATTCATCCTAGAAGTTAAGTGATAATTTAACTGATAATTATTTTGAAAAAAATAATTAAATAACAAACCAATAAATATGTAATTAACATTCATTAACCTAATAAATATACTTAATTAGGATTATTCCTCCTTAAAATAGATATTACAATATTGCATAAATGTAACATTTCTTGAATATCTTAAAATAAATCATTCATCATGTTAGAAATACTGAAATGTGTGGCCTATGGAAAATGCCAAGTAAAGGTTTTTATTAAGTCTATTAATATTTATGCTTTGGTCAAATTACTGATTCCTATCAAAAATATTAATACAATTATATCTGTTACAGAAATAGCACAAAATAACCACATCAGGATGATGGCAACAAGATACAGGCATGTGAAAAATACAAATTGAAATTGAAATATCGACATATCAATATGAAATCTTCTTTCAAATTATATCTGTAGATAAAGATGATGTAATTGCAGCATCTATGAAAAAACAAGAAACAAATTCACTTATTTAAGAAAGGAAATCAACTAAGATGCTAATTTACACTGAGGACATCCTCACACTCATCACTATTTAAAATGCATAGAATTACATTCAGGTGGCACCATACAGTATCAGGTGAAAATGATTAGAACATCGTTACAGAGCTTTTTGGTGGAGCCTGTTTTATTTAAACCACAGACATTTAGTTTGGTTTGCTCTTGATATTTGAAGTGAGCGGTATCACCATGGTGAGATCCAAAGAGCTCTCTGAGGCCTTCAGAAAGAAGATTGTAGATGCATATATGAGTCTCGGAAGGGATATAAAAGGATCTCAAGAGAGTTTAGAATCAGCCATTCCAGAAAATAATTTTCAAGTGGGGAACATTTAAAACAACTGCCAACATGGCCAGGTCATGCTGTCCTAGTAAGTTCAACCCAAGAGTGGACTGCAAGATGCTGAAAGAAGTCTCCAAAAATCCTAACGGGTCATATACTGTAGGAAGCCACAGTTCATGTCAAGGTACATGCACCTACCATCAGAAAGAGACTGCAAAAGTTTGGTTTACATGGGAGCTGTGCAAGGAGGAAACCCTTGCTGTCAAAAAAAACATCAGGGCAAGAGGAGGTTTGCCAGAGGTCACTGAGACAAAGACTTTTGGAACAACGTGATTTGGACAGAAGAATCTAAAATTGAATTATTTGGGCACAGTAACAGAGGACATGTTTGGCATAAACCAAAGACCACTTTTGAGAAGAACTTCATACCAACTGTGAAGCATGGGGGTGGAAATGTCATGGTTTAGGGCTGCTTTGCTGCAGCAGATCCTGGACAGCTCACCATCATAGAATCCACTATGAATTTTTCATCATATCAGATGGTGCTTGAGGACAATGTGATAACATCTGTCCAGAAGCTGAAGCAGGGGTGGACCATGCAACATGACAATGACTCAGAACATTCTAGTAAATCTACCAAGAAAAGGCTTGAAGAAAGAAATGGAGAGTTCCATAGCTTAAGGAATTCTGCATTGGAGAGTGGGGGAAACTTTGTCAGTCAATATCAGAGATTGATAGGAATATTGGAAGTGTCTCATTGAGATTATTTCAGGCAAAAGGGGAAATACTACCTATTAGGGCATAGGGTGTCCTGACTTTTTCCTCAGCAGGAATTTGCATCTTAGCTAATTTCCTTTGTTAAATAAGTGAATTTGTTTCTTGTCATTGCATAGGTGATGCAATGTAGTATAGTGTGACTGTACTATAGTGTGTTTGTATGCAAGCTAAGCCATTGAAGAACCAAGGAAATGGGTAAATGCGAAAGTAAGAAATAAAATTTGTAATAAATCAACTGATCAAAATTGCATCTTTATCTGTGTTACTAGGGTGTTCTACAAAGCTCAGCTCTGTGACAATTGAGTCGTGAGTTTAGGTCACAGTTCCTATACAGATCTTGGTCATCATCCTATGACCTTACAATGAAACCGGTATGTCACAGTTAGACAGCTGCGGTTTACAGTGTTAACAGTAATCATTGATTCAAGTGTTATTTGTCACATATACAAAAACAATATATTTGTGTAGTGAAATGTTTTTTTCTACATGTTCCCTGGATTAAAATAACTCATTTTATAATGTAATAATCGTTATATAATGTGCAAGGTCCGTTGAAATTGCTTCATAAATTTGTTTAGTACCCCTATTACTATTTATAGTTTGGGCAAATAACTAAAAGAAAATATTGAAAATATAACAGTGTAATCACTATTTTTATACATTTCTTTTTCTGTATTCAACAATGATGACGCATATTACACAGTAAATGTCCATCAACACTGTTTTATCTTTTTATCATCATTTTGGTAAAATGTAAGACATGAACATAGTTACCTTGAAATATAATTCTGACAGTTGAATACATTTATGAATGTAAAATTTCATTTACATAAATTCTAGGTTACGGTCACATCCAGCCTAGTACCTATCCCAGGAAGTGACTACAGAATATGTAAATGCAAATATAAATGTAAATGCATATGTTCTAAAAATTTCAATTTGATAACATTTGCAACATATTAAGGTACAATATATTGCACAATACTGTATGCAATACAGATGCTCCTCTACTTACGAACTTTCAACTTACGAACTTTCAGATTTACGAATGAAGAGGACTGTAAGCCCAAATTGTATTCATTTGGCTCCTGTTTCCTGTCCGCAACATCAATTTTTTTTTCTGCGGGCCAATTCCGCTTAGTACAACTTCTGGCCGCTACTCCCATCACGCAGGAGCGTAGCGTGCAGACTCCCAGCATCCTAGTTCTTTGTACTTGCGTATACCCTTAAAATGATGTTGAATAACGACTTACAAACATTTCAAGTTATGAACGGCCGTTCAGAATGTATCTCATTCGTAAGTAGAGGAGTGTCGATATATTAAGATGTCAAATACAATATTATTACACCACAATCCTTCCTATACAGGGTCTTTTTCTGAGATTTCTACCTATTCTGACATAATAGCATACAGGCGGTAAAAATTGAGGATAACAACAAGGAAATTTTTAATAGTAAAGAACACCAACATTTGGTGGAACACTTTGTATTTGATCATAACCAGCAGTCTAACCACAAGGAAGGGACCATCTTGGGTTAACACACTTTCAGTTATGCCCCAGATGTCACTGAAGCGTCTTCTAAGGCAGGACATGCTTTGATCTTCAGTAGCGTCTGCTGAACCAGGGATCACCACTAAACATCGACATTACAAGCACACACACACACAGACAAACATAAACACACAATGAATACTTTCAGTGAAAGTAGTGCCTATTGTTTCTTAACAATGTTGCCTTGGCAAAAAGGAAATTAAATTAAGTTGCTTGTTCAGTTCTCCAAATTTAACATTTACACATATTTTACTGCTGAAAAATGTGAAGACTAGAAGACTGTTTTCATATGGGCATTTGATTCTGTGGATTCTAATGATTTTTGTTATAATTTATTAGAGAAGGCATTGAGATTTGGAGGCAATGGTATCCCATAATAAAATCTGAAATTATATCTGTGTTTTTTAAGATACATTTATAAAATATTTAATTAAAGAAAATTTCAATATGCTTGAGACTTACCTGTCACATGGAAAGGAAATTGTAACATACTCCAAGTCCACACACCAAGTATTATGTACACAAACTCAGGCCTACTTTCCCTGTCAAAAACAAAATTAAGAAAGTGTTGATTGGCCAGAGGTAAGGTTGCTGTAGAAAACTATATGAGTTATTTCATTATGTTTGTCATTATTTCAAGCACAACAGAGTTCATTGTCTTTTGGCGATTCCTATTTTCTTTGAAATTTAAAAATATTTATCAGTAAACTTGGTTTACCATAAAATAAAGGCTACTTATACAATAGGGGCTCACATAAGATACATATTTGTCCATTTAGCAATTTATACAAGCATATCCATCTCCTTATTAATTAAACTGAGATCCATCCTAAGAGATACAAGAGGTCCCTTCATGGGAAACTGCAACTTCTCTGTCATAAATATAGTAATATAAAAGCAAATTAGTAACATTGTTTTAATACTCATATCAGTCTAACGTAGAATTACTTAAAAAGCTCAGTATGAGAATTGAGAACATGTGAATAACAGGCTGATCATCATACTTTGATTTAGGAGGTTCTTTTATATCTTTCATAAACTTGCAAATAATTTTGTCTTGAGATTGACAGTTACTTAGGATGTTACTCACTTCACATCTGACAGTGTCTCACTTGTAAACTCCAGTATGTCTGCAGCTACACCAACGAAAATGAGCAGGAGCTGTGAAAGCCCGTCTCTGGTGACACTGCCTCCTTTAGGCAGCAGCCACTTTCCCACAATCAGGAGGATGAGCAGGATTTGGTGAAGAGCAAGAATCCAGTCATTGACACACACTTTAGACAGAAGTCCATCCAGTTCCTGCAACCAGCATGAGAAAGAGAACAAAGGTTTCAATATTAATTGATCTTTACGGCTTTATTTTCATCTAAATATACCTATGTTGAATTCTTAGTGAAATTAAAATTAACTGACAATTACTAAAAGAAAATGTAGTAACAACGCAGTATTTCCCAAACTTCCTCTCAATTTCTACACTAATCACACTAGACATCCTCAAGATTCTATTTTTGTTACCGGGTTTCACATGAGTATTGAAGCAAATAGGTTTCGATTTTGGTCTAGCTGTCATCTACACAAAAACTTCCTCTTACCAGACCCGTTCAGAGGTATCATATGCGTTGCTTGTATTGCATGCATTGTCTCCAGTCTCTTCAGCCTGTTTCAGCTTCCTGACCATGACTTTGGTCTGCCCTAGTATTTTAGGATTTCCTGGATTTGACCCTTTCTTGACAGACATTATGGATTTCAAACTGTGTTTTGGTTTTCTGATTAAGTGCCTGTTAACTTTAATGGCTTTATAATTCAGTTCAGTGAAGAATAATAATAATAATAATAATAATAATAATAATAATAATAATAATAATAATAATTAATGACAACTCCAGGGTTGGGGGTTTGAGTCCCACCTATACTCTCTGGACTCAAAAGACGTGCAGTTAGGCTAACTGGTGTCTCTAAATTGCCCATTGATTGGATGGATGGATGGATGGATGGATGAATGAAAAGAAATAAAGCACAACTGGGCAACATATACCCAGCAAACTGCAAGACGTCCTTAGGTTGTCCTTAGGACGTCCTCTTTTGGTCCGGAAGTCGTCTTCAAAGGACGACTTCTGGACATTCTGATGGAACATTAATAAAAAGAAGTGCTTCAGATAAAATAATTTATTTAAAATGCTATTCCTGGAAGTTGTCACAACAACTTGCTTTTGAAGGATCTCTTTATTGTTCATAATAACACGGATGTCCTAAGGATGTCCTTAGGACGTCCCCAAATGTCCTCTGGATGTCCCTTGTTTGCTGGGTACAACTTAATTTCTTACCGTAAGTGCCTGATTGCGCATAGTCATATTTAAAATGCTCATTACGTTTTCCAGTGAATCCAGTCTCTTACACTAGAAGAATTAGAAAAAAAAAAACATCACTTACAGAAAACTTAAAGGGATAAGTCAAAGTTAATTAAATTAACAAAGTAATAAAAGGGTTTTTTTTTTTTTTAGATATTTTGTATTGAAAAAAAAACAAGATTTTTTTTTAACTACCTACGGTTACATTTTACGTACAGTACCAAAACGGTAGGCCTTAATTTTATTTTATGAGAAACACCAACCTGTGGATAATTTAATTCATTTTCTTGATGGTACAGTTCCAAAATCCATATGGAGGGTATGATGCTGATGAGGAACAGCAAGATGGCTGGCGAGAACCTATTTTAAATATACAACAACGATGTTAATGATGACGGATTTGTGGAAGTCGGGCTACAATTTAATATAACGTGCAATTACGTGATTTCTCGTGAAACTATAATTAATCTCACATGAATACGCAAGTCGAGTTTAAAACAAAATTTTCCCAAATCTTACTAAAATGAAGCAGTTAGTTATTGTTGAATGCGACGATTTGGGGGGGGGGGGGAATGACGAGAAGCTTAAATCTCAAACAGGCTATAATCTCAACTTACCACTTGTAGTCTTCGCCTTTTCGCATTTTCAAAGTTAAGAACATTTCGAAAATGAGAGGAAGGAAGAGAAGGGTCAGTAACCAATAATAAGGATCTTTTTTAACCCATGTAACTCCAAATACCCCCAAAAATGCTACAAGGATGAACAAAAATCGGGTAATAATCGCGCATATAAACTTTACTAAAGCCATTGTAAACTCAAACTTTGAAACTTTTTCGTGCAGGGAGCCAGCACTGTTACAGCTGTTAAAGTACAACTCCGGATGCAGAGGAACTCAGCAAATTATGCATATCGGCCAGCCTGCAAACACAAGCTCCTCCTTTGACTTAGGTACTTTGTACGCAAGTTGATTGCATTCCCTAAGACAGACAACGTAATGATGTGTGAAAATCTCTGAGTACTTTAGAACTTACTACACAGACTTATCTTACGCTTTATATAGTCTTATTATTGGGATAAAAACCAAAACTATACTAAATCCCAGCTGGAAGGTTGCAATTTTCATCGGATTTTTCTGTCATACTCAGTTAGGTTCTATACTCGAATATAACATTACAAAAATGGGTCAAACATGCTTCACCTCTTTTCTCATTAACTTACTTATATTGTCTTAATCTGTAGTCTTTACCTTAGTCTGTATATTGCAACATTATTTACTCAAAAAATTAATGTAATAACATGGCGATTTGTTTTAAACAATTATGACAAAATAAAACGTATTCACACTGGCAAAGTACGGTTGTGCTTTTTTGTCTACGGTGAATTCGTCTTCATCCATTCTAACCACTATTGCTGGTCAGCATCACAGTGGACCTAAAGCCCACCCCAGGCAAAACATGGTAAGACAGGAGTACACCCCGGATTGGCTGGGCTACACATGCACGCAACATACTAGGCAAGGATGTGAATTACCCCGACTGAATACATGGTGCATAGCTCAGAAGGTTAATGTAAGTGTCTCTGCCCGTAACCGGAAGGCCATGGAACGATCCAATCCCATTGCTGGGGAAGTAATCATATGCCTATCAGACCATTGAGCAAGACCCTTAACTGCAACTCTTTCCGGGACAATGGGTGCTGACTGACTCCCCAATCTTTCCTCGCTTGTACGTTATGGATGTTCACATAATCACATCCTAAATGTAGAGTACCAGCTAAAAGTCTGGATACACCTACTGAAAATCGTTTGTTTTTTAACGAGATAATGACCCTAAGCGCACCTCAAGGTGATGTAGAAGTATAATCTTGTGAGCAAGGTAAGAGATGGAGTACTGCGACAGATTATCTGGCCTTTGCAGTCCATCCATCCATTTTCGGAAACTACTTCTCCTATTCAGGGTTGCGGGGGGGGGGGTCTAGAGCCTATTGCTTCTACAGTCCCCCAAACCTAAACCCCATGCAGCTGCTGTGGCATGAGTTGGATTGAAGAGTAAGACCCAGGAAGCCAGCTTGTCTCTATCGTGTGGAATACTGATGACACTGTCTATTATATATTTATTGTTTATATATCCTCTGGGGGGGGGGATTTAGTATAAATAGGAGATAGGGAGTCTTTGTGAGAGGAAACCAAACCAAGAGTGGCAAACCTTTCCTGTAATTGTCTTACATATAATCCCAAAGAAATGGAGTAAAGCAGATTGAGCATGATGTAGTGTAGATAGTGAGATTTATTTAATCATGAATTTATTTATCAGATGCTTTTATCCAAAGCAACACATATCCGAGAAAGCTGGGACAGACAGTCCTTGGACCAATTAGGGTCCCTCTCTTACACGATTGAAAATTTTGTGCAATTCTGTAACTTCCCAAAGGGTGGCGACATACTACAAGAATTGGTTTTGTTTTAAAGCAGCCTTATTTTTGGTAATGTTTCAATGTACTAGGTCATGTTGATCACTTACAGCTGTTTCTGTTCCATGTATATTTTCAAAGCTTTTTTGGCATTTCTGCACAAATTCCCATTGTTTTTGTAGTTATTGTTTTCTTCCAGTTACTTGGATAGACTAGTAGGAGGAAAGAGGGAGGAACCGCTCATGGATTTTTTTTTTGTTTTGTTTTAATTTATTTAATTATTATAACATCCAATTATTTAATTAAGTAGATGTTTTTAATCTTGCAGTAAATGTTTCTTATGTGATGAAAATCTGGATTTATAGCATGGATAATTGGTCTTTACTATTTGTGTTTGATCAGTATAACCAAATGAAAATGATAAAATATCATACTTTGACATTGTAATCCATATTGGATCCATCCATCCATTTATTTACCAAACATTCAGTAGAGGAAGAGGTGAGCGTGAAACACGTGTAAATAAAACACAAAGCATATGGCAGGAAAACAACCTGGGTGGCAGATGGACATATACTACAAGCAACTCAGAAAAACTTAATTTGCCAAACCGAATGTTTTTGGAAAGCGCCCAGAGTATTGCACTCACTGCCTTCCAAGTCAACACATATCTGGACATTCACAATCTGCTGGGAAAAAAGACTGGTAACATCTTGTCAGGATGGAAATGCAACAATTATTATGTTGCTGGCTTTAAGCACTTCTTACAATCGTTGACCGTGCCATCTTGCACTGACTCATTGGCCTTTCTGAACTGGTTTGCCTCTTATCCAGAAAATCATTCTAACAGAGTTCTGAGAACCGGGAAGCACCACTAACATCAGGAGTCAAATACAGCAGGTTCTGTGTTGAGCCAAAAATGTACTGAGTTATGCTATCCTTGGACAGAGAGCAGGAAACATCACAATTTGGACCTGTAACCAGATATGGTGCATGCAGACACAATGCTGATCTGGACCCGTACAAAAAAGACAGGCCTTTACTTTCTTCCATGCTCTCTGTGCTACACTCCTAGCCATAGAAGTTGGAATCCTGTAGCAACCAAAAGATGTGCATGTAGTGATAAAGGTCAATGTAAAATTCCAGTTTTCACTGTGTAACCCCTGCCCCCCCCCCCCCNCCCCCCCCCCCCAAAACACCCCTACACCAACCTTCTGAAATCTTACTGGTGGATTTTTTTTCCTCTAGGGGTGGAAGGTGTGAAATATCAGATCATCACATCTTCAGGTCATGAAGGTAGCATATGAAGACTTGACAACACAAACGTGCCAGGGATGGATTCTCATCTCTTTCCATTTCCCCCCAAGGTGCTTCACCCTGGAAGATATACTGTGATGTCGACGAGGTGCTCTGACTTGACAGTTATCAAGTGATAGATCAGCGAAATGTATTGCAGTATCCACAAGTTTGTCTCAGTGTTGTCATTCCATGAATGTCCTTGTTCTTCACTGCACAATATTCATTTCAGGGAAAATAGATCATTACACAGTACATGTACAGGTAAGTGTATTCCTGAATATGCACTCATGTGTCAATATGAACAAAACAACAAAATCTATTCAAGCTGTTCAGATGCTTGCATATTTCTGGCAGAAAAAAGCTTTAAGATAAATGTTAACAATACTTGATTTTCTATGGAATTATAGTGGTTTTGCAAAAATAGAACATTTGGTTTTAATTGCTATTAATTTTTTTCTGAGCATGAAATTTTGTTTTGGGAACTATTTAATGAGGAAAATCTGTAACCAACCAAAACATAAACTAGATAAGCAGCTGAAAGATTGATAGGTTAGGATAGGTTAACAATACATTTTATATAAAAACATCAATTTCGTACATGTTGTATAGCGAGGCGTTCGTCAATAGCTTCCTGCTAATCTGATATATATATATATATTAGACTTGTGGCATTTTAAATATTTATATGTGCAAAATATGGCAGTTACCTTTCTACATTTTGTGATGCTTGTCTGTATTTACTGCGCTACACGCTTTCTCCTCGCCCACACTGTAACTATTAATATACGCTACGTTTAAACTGGCGAAATATCAAAATGCCATTTTAAGCAGTTTCAGTCCTTGAAATGTTGCCTTAAACCTTTTAATTACAAAATCAAGATTAACCACCGTAAATTTATTCAGAAAAACAAGCGCGCCCCAGAGCCGCCACATAAAATGTTCTATTATACATAATGACTTTCTAGACACAGGTCCTGCAAGATAAATATAACGGTAAATGGATACTTGAAAATATTATTCTGATAAATTAAATAATATATAATGCATTAATTAGTTCTGAAATATAATTGTCTTTCTTTCCTTTAACAATAAAAGTGTAGCATCCCAGAAAGAGGGCATTTTAAAAAACTGGAGAGGAAAGTCTTTACATCAAGTAATTAGGAACCTGAAAGTTAGCATTAATATTTTGTAATAAACATATTACTTAGGGATAAATGGCGAATGCTACATTTCTCACTAAATCTAGTTCGTAATTGTATATATTTAGTAGGCCTAACTGTGATTTCTATGCTGTGTTGATTTCATACTGACGATGTGACAGCTAGGATGAAAAAAATCCTTCCAGGACCGTTGAAAATCCATTCAAGCCAACAAGTTTGGAGAGAATGTTGAGTTTAATCAATGCAGAACGTCGAGATGGAGCCCAACTCATTGAAGGTATCGTTGCCTACTCTCCATTTATATTATACTTTACTATAATTTTGTCGTTTGAATTATAAATCTCAAGTGTAAAAAGGCAGGTAAAATTATTTTTGTGTTTTAAAACGAATGCCACAAACTTATCACTAAACTTAAGTGGTGAGAAACACTGTATGTTATTATTCCATAAAATCGTTTCTTGTCTACTGTGTCCTGAGCATAATTGTTTTCTTTTTAATTCGTTCAGGTTTTGTCTTTTGTGTAGCTATGGCATAAACCCCACCGCTGTCATTTGTGATATATATTGTGTTTTTATTGTTTCCGCAGTGGGTCGGCTCGCCGTGCGCTTTGCAAGGACCTCGCATTCTCTACAAAGCCTTTAAATTTCACCTTAACGGCAAACCGAGAATTCTGTCCCTTGGCGACTTTTTCTTTGTCAGATGTGAACCAGAAGACCCAATTTGCATAGCAGAACTCCAGCTGTTGTGGGAAGAAAAAACATCCAAGCAACTTTTATCGAGCTCTAAACTTTATTTTCTTCCAGAAGACACTCCCCGGGGAAGAGCTGTCAGTCATGGAGAGGTGATAACAAATATTATATCATATCTTATTTTACTGTATCTTAGAATAATGGAGAGTGTTGCTTTTGATATTAGATAAGGTGAATTGTAGATATCCTTTATATATCAGCAATAATAAATGGTGAATAATATATCATAAATCTGAGACTGCGATGGTAATTAAAGATACCATATACACAGCATATGGCGGTATAGTACATTAATTGCATTTTGTATATATGTGTTCAGTTTACTGGGTGTCTGTGCCCGACTTCTTATTACTCCCAAATTATATGTTTTTTTTATTGGTGTAGTTTGCACACCAAATAGTTTAATTCAATGTCGTTGCATTCTGTTTCAAGATTATAAGGTCACTGCCACTGAAATATGGCGGAAATTACGAAATAAAGCTAACATGACATCAAGAGCCATCAGGCTGGCATATTTTAGATGAATACCCGAGAAATGACAAGTACAACAATGATGTATTTATATCTTGGCTGAGATCTGCATGGGCGTATTTTAAAACGTAACTAAGAAGCAAAAAGACGTCAGTAAGCAAAAATATCTTAAAAATATGAACGGCCACTTTTAATACACACGTTTCCATGTTTACCGTGCAGTGACAAAGTGATTACATAGCCTCCGGTAAGATATTGTAAACCGTATTTTTTGCTTCCTTTTCAACTGCTTTCGACCAGCAACAATCCATTAACAACAGCAAGCTGATAATGCGGCCAGGATACGATACCTAAACGGGAGCGAGCACCGCAGTTACATGTTCTTACGCATGATTGTGTAATTAAACAAAGATGTGCTGTTCTTTACCGTAGGATTAACTATGTAAATGCTGGATACAATTTGACGTGATTCATAAGGAGTCCTTTACTATGAAGTAACAGAATATCCTTTGTTTTTTGCTATTACAAAAATCTTGTTGAAAATATTAATTTTGCTCAACTGAATTTTTATGTTGAACAGTTCTAAGATAACAATAATCAGAAAATTTGGTAATAAATATCACGTATTTCTCTCTTTCGACTGTATTCTAGACCCACTCACGTGATTTATATTTTTAATATCCATATTATCTATATTGTTAATAAAATTACTAATTTTATTTCATTTGAACTATTTAGTCTTTTTTTTTTACTAGAGATATGTGGGAAGTTTTCTAGAATAGTGTTTGGGTTGCAACCTGCTTGCTCCTGTGGTAATGTGTGGTAATGTGTGAAGCAATACATTTCCAATAAAAACACCTCCCCCATCAAATAAAATAAGGTTTGAGAGTTAAGGCTGTGAATTTTGACTAAGACTTTCTAGGCCAGAATAATAGCTTCTATGCTGCAGTGATTTAATGCGCTTGTGTTCGGAATAGTTTCCTTTTTTCATTCTCTTATTTGGTACTTAGTTGACTGAGTTAATATGCATCAAACATGCATGTCTGTATAAACGCAGCGTTTCAAAATAGCCTTTCTCAGTGTTCCCAGATGATGTCATTTCCCCCCGGTTGGAGTGTGTCATTCAATTGAAAAACAGCAGTAGCAGAAACAAACAGCAACATGCTTGCAGTGCTTTTGCTCTGGCAAACATCCTATCCAATACTAGTTGAAGCTAGAGAGGGCAGCATTACACTCCCATTAAGACATCTACTGTTTTACTTGTTTGAACAGTGTGTACCATTTTTCATAGGGCTCTGCCTGCCAAGACATCTCTGGAACAGTTTAAGAGTAAATTAGAAAGCTGACTTGCATTACTCACAGCTAAATAAATTAACATGAATGAATTGATCTAATTTGATGTCTATTTCATATATTCTGTTTGGAATTTAATAATACTAAACATTTTTTTATTGAAAATGTGCTTCTCCTGAGGGGGTATTATTTTGAATACAGCAATCCGTAAAGATTAGCAATTGCTACAGGTAATATACACACTAATATCCTATGAAAAAATTGGCATAGGCTATATTTGGGTGTCTTGTGACCATTTACTGGAAGGCCAGTTGAAGGAGGGTTGAATATATTTTGATTGTTTCTACCCTTTTGATTGTTTATACCCTTTTTGTTTGTTTGTTTGTGTTTCTGTGAATGTCTGGTCTTTGCAGGATGAAATTATTGCTGCCTCTGAGAAAGTAGTTGTGAAGTTGGAAAACTTGGCAAAATGGACCATGTCAGATTTCTCAGAGTGGAAATATGGACTGGAAGCAATGGCTCTGAAGCCTTCCATAGTCAAGGAACTCCGCCAAAATGGACAGAAGCAGGTTCTGCACAAGTACAGGGAATCAACTCTCAACAGTGGCCTCAACTTCAAGGATGTCTTAAACGAAAAGGCAGAATTGGGTAATTATTTTTCATCCTTTTTTAATTTCCCATATTTATTCAAGATATAATGCATTCTATATAATGTTTAGAAATTCTCAAATTTGTGCACCAAATTTAGTATGGATTACAATCCTCTATGAAAACCATTTTGGGTGATGTAGTCATTTTATTAGTGGAGGAAAGAGGAATTATAAGAGGTAGAGAAACATGTAGGTCTATAAAAAAAATTCTCAGTCAAATTTCCCCTGAATTTTACCTGATATGCTGAATGTCATAGCAGAATACCAAAGGCAATCTATAGCCTAAATTTGATAGACTTTTGTTGCTGAGAGATAAAGATGAATCATTCTGCCAGAAAGCAAGTTTTCAGTGATTAAAGGTGTGCTGTAAATGGCATTGTTGGCAGAAATGAATAATTCATTGATCATTCACATGAACTAACCATAGTACATTTGCTCAGAAACTAGATTGTGTATTATAATGAAAGCCAATTAATTATTTTTTGATGAAATTATAATGGCTGCAAACTTTCAGGTATTTAGGGCAAACACATTTGGGGAAATATGGAAAAATAAAAGATCACTGCCAAGTGAAGTATAAGTTGTGTACAATGTGGTATAATAAAGCGATTATTACTGTATAACATTTATAATATAGCAAGATTAATTGAGATCATACTGTTTCCTTTAACAAATCTAACAAATGATGTTTATGTACTGTTCTTGCAATTTCACCTGAGGGGAAAAAAAACCCATTTGGATCCATTAGAAATAGGTCTGACATCTGATTTGCCCCGCAGTAGTTATTAAAAATAAATACTTTCACAATTTTCTATGTATTAATCTTTTTTAGTTATTGCTAGAAAGGGAAAAATTATGAAGAAAAGTAACATGATTAATTAAAGATATATTAAAAAGCTCTACACAATGGATGTGGGTGGGTAGTAGCATTGGAAACATAGTTTTTGCCATTATAATCTTACTCTGTATAACAATGTCTGTAATAGTATTTTGGGGAAAAGCAAGATGACTTGAATTTATGGGAAATGTATATATTTGGAAAATACACACAAACACACACACACACATACACAAAGGAACAGTTTAGTGGGCGAATTTTGAATAATTCTATCATGGATCACAGAGACCATTAATGTAAACCTTGGTATTAAGCAATCAATAACACAGACAGATGAAACTGGAACAGTGCCAGTTACATAATAATCAGCACTGTTCTTTAGCTGGTTGCTAGGAAGCTGCTGTGAAAGAAGAAAGCTTGAAGAATGGAATGTGTAATGTAATAACGATAAGAAAATGGTTTGCGTCAGCATTGTCTTAGTTTGGACAATGTGATTTAAAAGGGGAAATCAAATGGCAGCAAATTGTGATTTGTGAAATGAAATGTGCAGAAGTACACATCTACCCATGATTTGTTCATATTCTGGAATATATCTTTTTTTTTGGCACCAAAACAGTTACAAATATTGGCTAAATGGAGATTCTTATGCAGTGTATCTAACAAATAACAGGAACGAACTTGTATAGCATTTTTCCTTTACAGAGTTTCAAATAAAAGATTCTGTTTCTGTGACCTTTGTGAAAGTATGCTTTGAAGAACATGCTGGGAACGAAACCGTGGACCCCTCAATAGTTCCAAATGAACAGTGGTGGACTGAAGAGGAATTTCCCTGCGCTCTTGATATAGGACACATGCAACATCCAGGCAGTTCACTAGGAGAACGCAGTTAAACAGTGGCGGGAGCTTATTACAGGAATTTAAATATGAATAGGTCATTTTATCTTCGAGCAACATGGATCTGTAGATTGTGCATCTTGACATTCTTTTCATGCACTTTACTGGCAGCTCTCCTTTTGGCAAGAAAGACAAACAGCTTGAGATACTGCCTGCCTTAAAAAAACGTGCACTGCGGAAAAAAGAAACAAATCGATGCTGAGTTATACAGTACGTGAAAGACATCTGTTAAAGGGAAACAGTTGGGAAACTCTACTGCAATGAATACTGCAAGCACAAATGGCACTACACAGTGCATTTAAATATCCCTATCTTTCCTTCAACTTAATATTTTGCCCACAAGTTAACAATACATAACGAGATGCTCTGTGTCGTAAATGCCAACACCCATAGTAATTTTTTGTACCTCGGATAATATAAATATTATTATGCTGTACTTATCCATATTATTAGTTGCTGTAAATAACGTAAACGAGTAAAGTACTGTATAACTACTGGATGAATTTGTCTTCTGTAGATTTCGCCATAAGGTTTCACTCGTCAAAGCTTTCAGTAAGCGGACTGTAATATCACTCTATCATACCCAGCTCAGAATCTCTCTGAAAACATAAAAAGACCATAAAAGACTATTGACACATTAGCAACCAGCACAGTGGCTCAGTTAGTGGTGCCATGTCATCACAATGCCTTTGATAGCTTGTCAGTTTTCTGCAGGTTTGCCTGCACCATTCTGGATTTGCTGCTTTCTTCCTGGGGTTTAGCGAATTAGTGTCTTTAGATTGCTGTATTCCGGACTGGCATTCCTTTAAGGATGTGTTCTGTCTTCCTATGAGACATCATTGAATCATTTATAGGAAAAGGTTGAATGAGCACTGGTCACTGAATGAAACACTAATGTAGTTCAGCCACCGAAAACTTTCAAAATAATTTTTTGCATGTATTTTTTGGATATGTATTTGTCACAGTTGGTGCTAAAATGAAAATTCTATAAACTTGTACTGCCAGATGCTGGCCAAAGCAGAACTGGCTTCACCTTCAAGACTGGTTCCTACCAAGATTTTTCCTTGCCTCAAACTTTCTCACTGGACCTCTAGCACAGTGCACTGTAAAGTGCTCTATGGTAATGTACCTTGGTAAAAGTGCTGCATATATAGAATTGAATTGAATTTTAATTAGTCAGTATATATTTCCAGATCAGGATGAGTCTCACCCGAAGCTCCCTAGCCCAGGTAAACATGCTTCACAATCTATGTTAGCATGTAACACCCATGAATGGTATAACACTGACTGATCAAAACATCCTTAGTTCTCCATAAAGACTGTTGAAGCTACACTTGATGCTATAAACATGGGCACAGATTTGGGTATGGCTGGTAGGGACATGTCCCTACCAATTTTGTGGGAGTACCGTACGTGTTTAGGAGGGCAATGTTGAAACCAAACCTACGCCTTTGATTATAAATAATGATTTGGTCCCATTCGGACACCAAAATTATATTGCAATAAATTTCAGTAGATGACAAATTGGTGTACTTATTGTATATTTTCTTGTCATATGAATTTCAATCTGTGTGGCAATACTGCATGTAAGCCTTGAAGTTTGCATATGTTTTGAGGCAGTGTGTGGCTCTGTGGTTGTGGACATTCCCTATTGCTTCCTTTCTCAATGGTACGTCACTTCGGATGAAAAGATCTGCTAGGTAAATGTATATATGCAAAATATACTGTAGAAATCCTGCAAGCTGCATATTGGAACCCTCGAGCTGGGTACCAAGTCCACATAGGTTTTCGTGAAAAAATGTTCCTCATTCAGGCAGTTGTGAAAGGCTTAAAACAAAACTACAGTGTAGATATGTGGAGGCTCTGCTGATTGAGGGGGCAGAGTAACAAATACAGAGGCCTCACTCAGGGATCTTGGCTTATTTGTGATACGGATAGGATTGTTGCCGTCTCTAATCAGACATAACTGTTTAATGTCATTTAATGTAGCTCTTTAATCTGCAAATAACTGTGCTTACGCAAAGCTGAATATCCATAAATATCCATCTGAATGAACTGGAAATAAGCTATACCATAATTCAGTGTTTCTATTTCTTATTATAACATACAATTAGAAATGAGAGGGTGTAATTCTGTGGAGTAAGATGCTAGTATGCATTGTTTTCATTTTTAGTGAATAAATTTGTCTTCTGTGGATTTCATAGAAATTTTTCACTCAGCTTCAGTGGCTGATGCAGTGTGATGCAGTACGTAATTATCCAGTTACTATGCTTGGTTTTAACCTGAAGGTATTGTTCTATTTGGTTTGGTTTATTTTGTTTGGAAAGTCAACAATTTCCACAAATATGAGCAATTACACAGTAACGGTAGAGTATTGCTAGTTTTTAACTGCTTCAAATGAATTGGATGACTCGCATAAAAATAAACTTATATTGATAGGCACTACAATGACTGTAAGCCAATAATTCTGCATATATCTATTTGTGCATCAAATTTCCTTTTCTTCAGGTTTTCAACTTAAATTAGTCATTTTATATCTAGAATCCTTGAATTCCCAGTCTTTGCATTAAAACAATGTGAGAACACATTTGCAATTGAAAGTAACAGAATAAACCTTTTAATCGATCTCTAAGCAAGACGAAATGATCACAATAGGAGATAGAAATGTTACTGCCTCACAATTATTCTTTGTGTCTGTTTTTACTCAATCAGGTGAAGATGAGGAGCGAGTTCTGGTTCTGAGCTACCCGCAGTACTGTCGGTATCGGTCCGTTATAGCCCGCCTGCGAGAGTGGCCCTCATCCTTGGTGATAGAGCATGTTCTGCTGGCCTTGGGTGGCATCGTCTCCATTGGCAGCACCCATATATTCTACTGCCGTGAAACCTTCAACCACCCAACACTCCCCGAAAATGGAAACGTCTGTGACAAATTTGGTAAGTGCCAAAAAATATACTGATAACCTGGATTTCATCATTTATCTCCATATTTTTTTTTACATGATGTATCTTTCACTGGCATTATTGGGGTCAGCAGCATTATTTTACTGCATCATTGTTTGCCTGAAAGACGATAACTAACTAGTAATAAAAGGCTCATTGGCAGTAATTAGGGTAAAAGGTAATACATTTTCGGTGAGGCAAGGATCAGAAGAAACCTTGCGTCGTCATTAAAGTGCTTGAGATGGATGGCTACAGTGCTGCACTCCTGTCCTATCTAGCTGAAAAATGACAATAATAAATTTGCTTTCCCACCAAATCTGTACTATATTATTGAAAAGAAACTATGTGTCTGTCCAGCAACATTTTGGAGTAGCTTACATTTTGGAGTATATTGAAGAAAAGTACTTGACAGTGCATGCAAAAATATATCTATTGTATATTATCCTGTGACTTAGGCTGCCAAACTACTTTAGGTAGTAACAATATATTATACTAGCTGTTCTTACACGCCACATTCCTAAGAACTGTACAGTGGGAAAAGGAATTGCTTTATACTACTGGACAGCATAGCTATGAAGGGTATTGATTTATAAAGATCAGAAAAGGAGCTATGGAATATTTTATAGTACGGTGTATTTATACAAAATATCAGTCATTTCCTCTGATTGCAGGGCTCAGCAATCTTGTGTTCGGAGAGCTGTAGCTTTATTAGTGCTAAAGAATAAATGTGTAGGAGAACCTGTTTTATTCAGATTGGGTTCATAAATTATTTTGTCACTGCAGTCCCCGTTAATTAAGGAGTAGTATTTTCCAATACAGGTTTTAAATCAGGAAGTACTCAATTTCCACCCCAGTCATCCCAGGGCACAAGGCTAGGGTACAGATTGGATGGGATTCTTAACCTCTTGTCTTCGGAGTGTAGGAGAATATCAGGGTACGCAGCAGGAACCTAGCAATGTTACCTACTGAGTCCCCATGTCACCATGGGAATAAATATAAAATAAAATAAAATTATTTTCTAGAAAATTTGACTTTGCAAGACATATGGACGCATGTTTCTAAAAACCACATTGAAAACAGTAAGTCAAGTAAGTACAGAAATTAGTCAAAGAATGGATATATAGACTTGAGACTTTCATGTGTGTTTTTTCTGAAATAAAAGCGCTTTGCCTCGGATTATCTATTAAATCTGACATTTAACGTTGTCCTACTATTTTTAGTGCTCTCTTCTGTGATTTGGGACCAATTACAGTTCTGACTCATTCATTTCAGGCGAAAGGGTAGCCATAAATCTTTCAGAATTGAAAACAACTTCATTGAATGGTATTAAGCTGAGTTCCTTTATGCCATCATAAACACAAAGCGTAGCTTCTATGTGCAGAATGTTTTTTCCTTCCTATGATAGATTTCTTTCATGATGTTTTTTTCCCACTTGACACAGTCACTTTTCCCCATAGTCAGAGTTTGGGGGGGGGGGGGGGGGCTCTTCGCCTCTCCCCCTTGGTCTTGGCTACAGAATAAGGTTTATTTGTGGACAAACAGCACAATATCCTCCTATCAATATTGTAATAACCAAATGGCATAAATTGAAATCATTCAGAAGAATAGATTGACTTACACAGCTTTGCTATTCTGAAATTCGTTTTATAATTATTTAAAGTAAAGCACTGTTGTGCGCAGGATAATCTCCCTTCATATATGTACAGTTTGCATGCTCACCCTGTATTGCACAGCTTTCCTTGGTCTAACTTGGTTTCCTCCTGCAGTTGCAAAACAATAGGTGATTTTTTATTTCAAAATTGCCCATAGTGTGTGTGATTGGGTGCACGTGCCCATACGCTCCCATCCAGAGTATATACAGTATTTGCCTTATGGAGATGAGCTCCAGGCCTCCCTGTAACCCTGTCCAGGAGAAGTGTTCGGAAGAATAGTAACTAAAAATGTGCATTTAGATGTGCATTTTTAAACCACAATACAGATGAATTTGCTCTGTACAGAATTTCAGATGTGTGAATGGGTTCCTGCAAATGCTAAATCTCAGTGGGTCTTTGGGTTTTATCTAAATTGCTCTGAAATTTTTTTCAATCATCAACAACTGTTCTGGGAAAATGTGGTAATGGGTAGGATCAAATTAGATTTTGATATCAGTTCACTTTTAAATAATATTTTACCAATGTGGAACATGTTGAACAATAGTGATAAAGTAAAATAACCACTACAATCAACTACAGAAATGAACTACAAACTTCAGCATTCTACAATGCCTGCTGCAGAATATAAATTAAGTAGAGAAATATAAGCTAATTTTACAAAACAATCAGAATCAGGCCATTTGGATGACTCTGCTTGTCCTTTTGGGATAATTTCAGAATCCACTTTAAAAATGTGCATGTATTCAGTTTAAAAATAAATTTTCCAGATTAATTTACGTAATCCGGTTTCACTTGGGTGAAAATTATAATTATGCATTATCAATCAGCTGATATAAGAAGTGGAAATTAGATGCCAGCAACAATTCAGTTCAAACCTGCATAAACGTTACTGCGTTAATAGCAACACAACTCATTGAGACTTAGTTCTGTGCTGTCTGAGGTAAAAGCATTTTTTGCCAAGTATGAACAAAACCATTTTGTAAACAATAAAGTACTTTTTAAAAAGTAGTTGTCAGGGCCCAAAAATATTCTGAGTTATTTGGCGTCTGCTCTGATTATCGTTTTCTCAACTCTGTGATTTGGATTCCAATTGTAGAATAGTTCTATTCTGGTGGAAGACTACTTATTATAGTGATTTTGGTCCACAAATATAAGAATGTCCTATATATATATACACACATACACTTCACATACGTGTGTATCTTAATAATGGATGTTGCATGGTTTTTTTAGATAAATATTTTAGGCAAGGTTCATTAGGTTACATTTCATTTTTTGTGTAAATTATATGCTTAATTATTTGTACTCGTGAACTCATGAAGAAATTGTTGGATTTTGCTGACACAAAAATTGAAACAAAATAGCTTTTGTATTTCATATTTTGCATATGAACATCACAGTGGACTTTGACCAATAAATAATTGCATAGTTGCCAGACAGCACTTCTCTTCTGGTGTTTCCTTGTTAACTGCTGTAACAAAACACCATCTGTGTTATTTCCATCTTTATGATGTCATTATTGCTGAATTCAAAATAATACCTCAGAAACTCACTAGAGGGCAACTGATTTCTATTTATTTCCATCCTGTCCATCTCCCAACTGCTTACGCTAGGAAGGGTCACAGGGGATCTGGAGCCTTGGATGCCGCCCCTCACAGGGTAAAGACACACACACATACACACACACACACACACAC